GTAAGATTTGAATGTTTTTTTTAAACATACTTAAAATTAACAAGCAAATACACATAAAGGAAAAGTTATAGATTGGAATAACACTGAATTACATGACAACAGGAGAGAACAAAATGCATCAAACCTGATTAAACAAATTCATGAATCATTTTTCACTTTACTTTCCTGAAATATGAACTAAAACAATATGAAAAAGTAATGTATTACATTTACACTAAGTATGAAATTTACAAATAAAATAGTTTGCTATCATAATATGAACACCATTGTTAGTGAGAAATAAAAAAGGGTTAGTGTAGTAAGCCAATAGAAAAGTAAGCCACCAAAGAGAAAACACAGAGTTAGAGCAATACAATTAAATAAAGCACCCATGCTTTGCACCTTTTTTGGCCGGCCTCGTTTTTTTTTCTACCATTCCATTCTGTAGCTTAAGTTCCTTCAGTTCCTGCACCTTCTGTTGCTTTTCTTGCTGCAATTGACCATACATGACATGCACATCATGGTATCGTTAAAAAAATTCAATCTGGTAATTTCAGAGGTCGAAATTCCCTTGTATCAATATTCCCATAAATGTTATGAATTTAATATGCTACAGTCTTGAACCACTATCCTTAGAAAAGGATTGAAGTTTAAGCCTAAGAAACTGACTTTAATCTTATTTTTGAACATGTTAAACAAAAGTATCAGTTTTGTTACTCACTATTTTCTATTTTCTAAAAAACTTAATTTCCATCACACTATTAAAGGATCCAAGGTGGAAAAATTGAAATAACAACAAATACCAAAGGCAGATTTTGACCTCTGATTGTGGATCATAAAAAAAAAAAGTAACAAAGCAAAGCTGCTAGCTAAAGCTATGAATTAAATTTTATTTGCAAGCCAGCCCAAACCTAGCATGCATGGCAGAACCATTCTTACAATTCTTTAAGGGAGAAAAGAACTATAAAAAAAAAGTTACAAGAAAAGTTGAATTAATTTTAAACTTTGTCTATCAAGTGAAAATGTGTGATAAAAAACATTACCAAACCATTTTGAAGTTAAAAATTGTGCCTGTATTTATAAAATTATTAGTGGTATTTCTATATGCTTCCTTCATATATATATTTAGACATATACATCAAACAATATATGGGCACTGCACATAGGGTCTAGCTTCATGCTTAGATGGCCATGTTTGATAGAATAAAAGTGCATTAATAACCTTAATGCAATACAAGTTAGACCTTTACATAAATAATAAATAGAAAAATAGTTATTAGAATAATGCAAAAAAGCTGTAAAATTATGACATTGTGGAGAACATCATCTGTACTCCTAAGCCACTCAGTCCAAAATTAGAGTTTCTCTTTCAGGCTGTTCATAGACAGAGCTGGGTGATTAATGAAATTTTTGAATCAATTATTTTCATGAGTTGGGATAATCAAAAACAGTAACAATCGGAAACACTAATTTCAATTAGTTGATTAATTTTGAGAGTCATAACACAAATTAAATATGGTGAACAACCTTGAATTAACAGAAAATAATAATAATAAATCATAATGCCAATATTTTGATTACTTTAACTTAGATATTTTGAATAACCAAAAACAAAAAACCAGGAAGACTAATTTTGATTAGTCAATTGTTTTATGTGACAATAACAGAAGTAATCGATGCCTACAAGTAATCAATTGAGTTAATCGCCCAGCTCTAGTCCTAACTTTAGTTTGCTAGATGCCAGACACTTCTGCTTACATTTTATATTTGGTATTTTTTGAAAATCTCTATTTTATACTAGGTTTGATAAAATAATGCACATACTGAATATATTAACTGCTTGTGAAATAAACCTAAATAGAAAAATTACTACATGAAATACTAAAAGGTGTAGTGATTCTAATAGTGCTTTGTGAAATTAATCAATTTAGTCCTAATTTTAACTATCTGATTATTTTACATTGGAAGAATTAATTCAAAAATTATGTTACATAAAAATATTCATAAGTAACAAAATATTATGAAAGTTTCTCTTGCCTATTTCAGTAATTAGTTTATACAGAGGTTGAGTAGCTTACATTAAAACAATTTTGGAGCCTCACCACACTACAGTTTATCATCACAACTGGTCATACTTTATCTGATGATCATGCACCTTGACAATAATTTCATTGCAAAATGCTCTGTCACAAGGATGCAATGTCCAAAGCTCACCACTCCTCCCTGTTTGCTTTCAACAATCCACGTAATGTATAAGGACAGAAGTTTTCCAGTGCCCACTTCAACAGTTTGATCACACAAAAATCCATAGGTGCTGCAGCCAGGTACTTGATTGGTATCTCTTCTGAGGGAATAGCAAGAATACTTGTTTCATTCACCAGATGCTCGAGGAATGAGAAGGTTGAATAGGAGGTGTGACTATAAGCCTCATCTTGAGGAACCTATACCCTGTTGGCCCCATTTTCAGATAGAAGTATTTCTTGATTACATTGTATAATGTTGCTTGGGTCATGTGGATGGCTTTTACAACTGACCTTCGTGTTCATGGATTCTCACCTTTTACAAGATACCACACTTTTGCTTATCAAGGCTGGTATATGAATTTTTGGTCTCTTTCCAGATGGTCCTGTTACCCCAAGTTGATCCATATTCCTTTCTTTTAGAATACAACTAAGTATAAGGGATATCCTAGTCTTGTAAATTCAAAATCTGAACATATTTTTATAATCTGAATGTAGGAATATTTTGCATCTAAAGGACTGTTACATACATTTTCCACAATCAATTTTCAGTTTCACCACACTACCTAAAAATTGGCCAACAACGTCAAAATGAAATTCTGATACATTATGTTCCATTTCAACTTTATACAGACTGTGGTTGTTAGTGACTTGCTGATTTGCATATTGTTATTTTATATAACATACTCAAATCTCTGTATATCACTAAAGTGGGAATCATAATCACAGGAATAACAATAAACATTACTCTTTTAATGAAATACTGGTCCTTTTAAACTGGTTACAAAGCCATATCACTGATTAAAAGCAAATCTCAAAGCTTTTCATTGATACGTTTTCTGTGTATAAAATCCAGACATATATAGAATTACAACTAGAATTATTTCTTGCTTTTAAAAACAAAAAAGTGAAATCATGCTGAAAGTTGAGTGAATCAAAATGATACAAAACGTACAAATCAGAGTTATTCCATTAGTTTAATGTCTTGTGTTTCCAGAATCTAAAGCAGTGATAACTGAAATAGTTTTGAATTGAACATAAGTTTGATACATGGCACATGTTACTTTTAACAAAACATAAGCCTCAGACACATTTTTGTCATAGTATTGTACAACATGACACCATAGAAAAATGGTATATAGCAATGTGACCTTTAGATATAACATGAGAATGACTTTTCAGCTTTCAGGAATTCTAACGCAAGAAAAGCTCTAAAAATACATCAAATGCAGATTTACTTGGAAAACTAAAATCAATGATTATACTAAATATTGCTCTAAACTATAAATGTGAGAGTTATTTAAAACTTTCATAGAAGAATTACTTCTTCTGTAAGAAATTGTTCAAGCAAAATTGGAATTTATAATATTGTAGCAAAACTACTGTTCTAAAAAATTTCAATCCCCCATCTCAGTTTATTTTAAGGCAAATTTGGCATCTGATAATCCACATTGCAATTTGAAATGCAAATGACTGGCAAGTCAGTATAAACTCATAAAAAACATAGTAGAAAGGGCATTATATCTTTACAGTTCATGACATTTCACTTTAATATGAAATATGATCCCCATGAACAAGGTCAGCCTGATACCAATGGTGAATGCTTAAACTCAGTATCAATTGTACCTTTGACCATTCCTTCGTAAGAGTTATTTCCAATGATCATTAGTTTCTCTAGTCACTTGACAGAATGCATACATCTCCTAAGAGCATTCCATAAATGTTTCGTATAAGTGGTTGAAGTTAGACAATCTCCAAGGAATGTTTTGACAAATTTAGTATAGTGAAGACACATAATATCATCCATTAAGCTGAAATCAGGGCCATTTGCAGAAGCATAGAGTAGAACAAAGGGTCACAGTTTGTGGTCCCTATAAATTTGGGCATTAATGGAAGCAGTCAGCTACTTGTGTTATAGATGATGGTTCAGTCTTAAAGAAATGTGTTGACCAGTTTAGCATGGTGGGCGATGGTGTCACCATCCACTATTATGCCAGAAATCAGGGCCAACTGTAGAAGCATATGGCAAAAGAAAGGGACACAGTTTGAAGTTTATATGAAGTAGGGAATTATTGGTGGAAGTTCTGTCCTTGTTTTATGTATTTCAAACCCTGTGATTCATTTTCAAGTGCCAAATGAAACAAGAAGCCAATATATATATATATCATAAGCTGAATTATCTATTCACCGGATGCATAATGTGCATAACAATGAACTGAGGAATTTGATGAATATACATGTATGAAAACAGTTTACCATGTCATAGCTATAATATTACAAATTTCAACTATTCTTAGTTTTTTGCAGCTTGTTTCTGTGTATGTATATATAGTAAAGTTACTATTTCCTAGTATAAATTTTTGGATGGGCTCAGATTTTTTATTTTTGTGTGAACATTTATAAGCATGTTTAAAATTCATAGGAAAAATAAATTTTTAAAAATATATCTATCTGGACAACAAAAAAAGATGATAATTTGGTTTTGTGATGTCAATTTTTTCAATGTCAAACAATTGTTTTCTTCTATGACAGTGAAGATCTTACTTTGTAAGATTTATTACTCAAGAATAAAAAAAAAAAAGCTGGTGATAAAATACTATACTGCACATAAAACATTTACTTTTTACATAAATAGATAATTTAGAGAACTGTCAAGTATGAATAAGAAACTGTTATGCTATAATAATTAAAAATACTTTGTAATTCATTAAAACTGTATTTTCATGACTTATCTCTATTTTCCTTGGTTAAATTCCTTACTTAGAAAAATCTATTCATTACCTTTTCCTTAGTAGTTGCTACCTTCTTTTTAGCTAATTCTTCCAAATGTCTTTGCTCTCTTTCTAGTGCTTCTGCAAGTTCGGAGAGTTTTTTCTGCTGCTGTTCTTGAATGCGGCGACTACGTTTGATATGGAGGTTTGGAGAATCACTACCATCAGACCCATTCAAAATTTTTGGTCCTCGTCCTCTACCTCTCTTCAGTGTTCCACTGTTTGATGGTGGTGTTAAGCCCCCTTTTCTAGTAACTTGACGCCCTCTGCCCCGACCCCTACCCCTACCTCGTGACCGACTACGCCCTCTTCTTGGACTTTTGCCTGCAGCAAGAATTACTTCTTCTGGAATAGTGAGGCTTGCCTCCTCTCCCTTCTTCTCACTGCAACTAAGATTTTTTTGATTATTTTCAGACTCAATAGACTCAGAGTCTCCACCACTTTCCTTTTCAATAACTTTCTCAGGAGTCTTATGTGCAGTTTTCTTCATATCATTACATTTTCTACTTCTAAGCTTTCTTCCCCTAACAGATTTTTTCTTTTTTGTTTTTGGTGCATTTTTATGTTCCTCCACTGTTTCTTCTAAATCCAGAGTTTTATTTTCTAAAGTAGAGGCTTCAGCTGACTCTACAGGTACAGCTTCAACTGAAACAGTTTCATATGATTTTGTTTGCTCATCAGATTTCTTTTGAGGTGACAAGTTTTCAATTTGTTCTTTCTTTGCTGAATCTTCATTTTCTTTTGTACTATCACACTCAGCTTTATTCATTTTCTTATTATCATTTATTTGATTTTCATCACCTGGAGAATCTTGAAGAATTTCAAACACTCTCAAGCTATCAGTGTTAATTTTACTCTGTTTGTTACTATCACTTTCTTTATTCTTGCTAGTTTGAAGATCTTGAATTCCATCTACTTCTTTTATGGTTAGAGAATGTGTTGTACTTGATTTGATGGTATCTACTTCATTACAATCTGTTTGAAGCTCTTGAATTGTTGTAGATATTTCACTTGTACTATTACAACTGACTGCACAAGGGTTTTTAGTAGTATTTAATTTATCAATTTTGTCTTGTAAAATGTTTTCATTATTGACCAATGGGGATGTACACACATCTTTTTCTGAATTTGTCTCAGCTAGAACAGAAGGCTTGTTAACTTCTTTGGAGAATTTTATTGCTGTTTGTTCAGAATGCTCACTTTTTATATCAGCTTGGTCATTGTTGGAGTTTTCTGCTTTGGCAACATGGTTTACATCTGTTTCTTTTGCAGCTTCCGAGTCAGTAAGATTTTCACCCGATAAGCTACCAAGAACTTCTGACTTGCTTATACTGTGTCTATTATCATTTGTAGAGGAAGACAAATCAACAATTTTTTTATTGTTTTCATCTTTGTTCAACTTTTGATTTGCATCAGGTACATTTTTTAAACTTTCAGCTATTTTTGCCGAGTCTAATGATAAATGACATTCTGTGATGATCTTTATTTCTTTTTCTTGACTAACAGACTCTTTATCAGAATTTGTATTTTCTGATAATTTGTCTAAATTTAGTTCAGGTTTTTCATGGGTATCTAGTTTTTTGTAGTAAATTTTATGTTTGAATTCTCTACCCTCAGAGGTTTTACAAGAGAGGCTATCTTCAGCAACTAAACTATTTAATATATCAACACTACCAATGTGATTGGATACTTCTGTTGTATGTGGTACTTTAGATGTACTCATATTAACAGTTGTCACTGACACTCCACCATGTGAACTTAACAACTCTTCCTTATCCTGCTTTTGAACCTGTTTGTGAGATAACTTAGAAATACCTTCTTTTATCAATACACTTTGAACATTCTTTTCTACATTATTCTCCCTGGACAGATCAAGAGGTTGCATTTGTTCAACAGATTGACATTTTAAGTGACCAAGCTCTTTCTTTGAAGTTTCAGCATTTGTGTCACTGTGGGATGATTTGTCAATGAGCAGAGAGTTGCCTGCTTCAGTAACTGGAGTTTCTTCTGTTTTGACATTATTCTGAATTTGTGAGAGCTCTGGACTCTCCTTGTTAGAGGAAACTACAATGCCCATAGGCTGACTTTCTGACACAGTTTTAACATCACAAGGTTTCATAGTTATCCCAGCACCAACTGGAATTTCTAAGGAAAGTTTTTCTTCATTTTCCAGGGTAGTATTCTCAGATTTTGCAGCAATGGTAGTGCTCAAATCTAAGGCTTGAGGCTTTATGTCTTCTTTGTCATTAATACTGGAGGTTTCTGATAAAATTATAAAGATATGAAAGAAAATTCTTAAGTTGATCAAGAAATTTAAGTACATACAAATACACACATACATAAGTTCAATATTTTTAACAGTAAAGTGTAATGTTTTACAAAAATTAGAAAAACATCCAATGGCAAGATTACATATTAGAGATATTCAATAAAGATTTAAAAGAACTATTTGGCCTAAACATTTTCCTTTTAATGTTTACCTGCATGTACTACATATGTTCCTCCATAAAGTTAACATTTTCCTAAACTGAAAATGTATTTCTGAATAGATACTTACCTCCCTTAAAAAAAAGCTTTCTTGATAAGTACCACCCTCTGTAAGCAAAAGTTTTTTTGCTCACTACTAGCCTTGTAACTCCCACTTCTTTCTGCATATCTACATGCAAATAATCATGCAGCAACCCTCCACCAATAGGAGTGTGACACTACTCTTATTGTAACTAGCACCCTCTCTAATAATGCACTTGTTAATCACTTCAAGACTGGCCATGACCAAGTCAACCAATACAAAAGAAATGGGTAGGATGAGTGGGAAATGTGAGAGGAGGTAAGTATCTATTAGAAATACATTTTCAGTTTAGGAAAATGTTAACTGCCTATACAATATCTTACCTCCTCTCACAAAAAGCTAAAATCCCACACTGAACTGGTGGAGGGTCGGTGAGAATATGATCCTCCTTTAGAAAATGCCAAGAGAAAGACCATGGGGTGTGGTAAGGAATGAAAAACATCACACCAATGGAAGATTGCTCCACTATTGAACCAGGTATAGTCCTCAACCTACAGAAATGTGTCACCAAAACTGAAAGGATAGAAACATGGAGGGTCCCTAAAATATTATCAGCAGTAAAGGGAACTCTAGGTGTCGAGTGGGTAGGATGTGACACACCGTAAATGGGAATTCAACCTCAAACAACACCTGGCGGCATCTGGAATTTTACATCCTCTACATTTCACTTCAAAAATGGGTGCTGGACAGGAATATGAGAATCCATAACAAGAATACAATTCCGCATGTGCACACCTCTAGCCCTGAATCAACCAGAAACTGACATCCAGCAAATGGTAGGAAGTAAGGAGAGTTCAAAAGGTGAAAATGAAGGGCCAGACCTTCAGAAATAACCTTCAAAACCCATAGATCACCTGTAAAAGACCTTCAAACATGGGCAACGTGTAGGTGTCTGGCCCCCACTTGCCTTGACTCGAGAACCAAATCACTGACTCTGAATGCCCCAAACATGACAACAGGTATCCAAATGATTGTAGCAAGCTGATGAAGGAGAAATTGGGACTGGCAAAGGGTTAAAAGGTGGGAGGCATGCCACTGAGACAGGAATAGGTGTTTGGGACAAATGAGAAGCCAATGAGGATATGGAGTGATGTAGATGGGCTGATTCAACTCTGGACTCCAAATTGTCAAAAAGACCCCCAAATACCTCTTCCCAGAAAAATTGTGCCATCTGCAAATCAAGTGAGGAAGAAGCGGGTAAACGAACCCTGGATAATATGGCATCCAGTCCGAAAAAAATCCCAATAGCATATCAGCCACATCTATAAAGCCAAGAAAGAAGAGGAGAGACATGCCATGGTAACAAATAGAAAACTATAAGATTCATCAGAATATTCTTTAGAAGACAGATGAATAGCTTCCGTGAAAAGATGATGGAATGATAAGGCACGAAGAATAGCAGATAAGATAAGATGGGAAAATTGAGGTTGGGAAAATGAAACCTAAGTATTAGGGTGTGAACATTGTGAGTCAAAAATAGGAGTAGTTAGTAGACACTGACCAAAAGATTCATCTCTAATGACGGTAGGGGTATAATCATAGGAATCAGGAGACAAAGACAAAATCAAACATACCTGTTTAATCAAGTTAACAAAGGGAGAAAGAGGCTTGGGCAAGTCCCCTGATTGAAAAGCATATTCAGGAGGGGGAAAATGTTGTCCAAATTCTAATCCTCCCTGTCAGAAACACCAGGCAAGTGGTGGTGAATGTTACACGAAATTAGACAATCCTCTACGGATCATAGTAGTCACATGGTCTGTAATCCCGCTGGAGCAGGAAGAGCAGTGGTAGTAATAACTACTTGAAACTCAAACAAAAGAAACAAAAGGTATCTAGAAAACAAAATTCAAATATTCCAAAATTTGCGAGCAAAAATAAACACATCTTAAAAGTAAAAATGCCAACTGAGAAATGATTAACAGGTGCATTACTAGAGAGTGCACTAGTTACGATAGGGGTAGAGTCGCAGTCCTATTGGTGGAGGGTTGCTGCATGATTTTTTTGCATGTACATATGCAGAAAGAAGTGGGAGTTACAAGGCTAGTGGTGAGCGAGACATTTGCCCCAATAGAGGACAGTACTAATTAACAAAGATTTTTGTAAGGAGAGGCAAGATATCATATCAGAAAAGGAACTTCTTTATGTATATTTTCAAAAACATATATAATTTAAGACATAGAATAACAAATATAAACTAAACAAGCATATGCCATTTATAACCATATTATGAATTATCTTAAAATAATTTTAAAAAAATCATGCAACATTTACATAATTTATAGTTTAAGAATATAATTTCCTAAGAAATTTAAAAATTGTGTGCTTATCTTTTTATATGATAAAGATCTTTAAAACAATTTACAATATACACACACATATATATACATTATGATGCATAACATTTCTTGCTACTCACAATAAACTTATACCTAAAGTAACTGTAGTAATGTAAATAGCAAACAGTGCAGCATTAAGCCATTTCCCTATGTTTGCATTTATGGATATATGAACACATCAAACTCCAAAACTTTTCAAGTAGAAGATTTATACTTTGAATTTTAATAGATTTTAAGGATAACTAAGCTGAAGTTCACCAGGCATGCCCCACAATGTATAAATTGTTTTTAATTCAAATGATTGTAAAACATAAGTCAAATTTACTTTCAATGTCAATGGTAGTAAGTGAAAACAGAACTTAAAACTTTAACCCCCTCAACACGGACTCAGTGTATATCTTCACAAAATTTGGCAGTCTTTCAGTTAACATTATAAGTCGTTCTCATAAAAAAGTCATATTTTTAGTGAAGAATTTTTAATAAACTGAAATAAAGATTTGTCCATGAATATATTGAGTATTTGTTTT